TATAAATAATAATTTATATATATATATATTATATATATATACTTCTACATGTACACACATATACATGCAGATGGGCACATGAGCACACACAATGAAAAAACAAAAAATGCATACTAGAAATATAAATAGTCAATTGCTGGTACCTCCTGACAAGTGGGCAGGGTGATTTCTGGGAGACGGGGCGGTGAGCTGTCTATAAAACTCGAGAGCTGGAATGCTGAATATAGCATCAATGAGCAAAATGACAAATTTTATATTTGTATTTTTATATATATATATATATATATATATATATATATATATATATATATAAGCTGGAGCCCCTGTTTGTTTGTTATCAAACTCCTCCTATTTCATTTTGATCAGAAAGGGTCCTCAGCCCCAACACCCCAGTGAAATTTTTTTCCCTTTGATTTAAATTAAATTTAAATTGAACAAGGGAAAAACTCATATCCAAAACATAGGAGAAAGGCAGAAGATGGAGGTCACATTAGCAAGATCAAAATGAGACAATATGGATGTCAAGTTGAGCAAAAAATCACCAATCAATGGGTAGAGCCTTACGATACACATTTGTTGTGACAATTCAACTGTCATATCAATGTTGAAATCTGATCATCATTAAAACAAGTATTGCATTAAAGGGGTCAGATCAAGTTGTTTTTGCACAAACTACCCACTGAAAATTTTTTTCCTTTTGATTTAAATTAAATTTGAATTTGAACAAAGGAATGACTTCTATTCAAAATATAGGAGAAAGCCAGGAAATGGAGGTCACATCAGCAAGATCATTGAGTAATAGTGAAATGCATCATTCATCTCCACAAATTATAATAATTATTTAAAAATCAATCATCATTTTCTTACAAAAAAATATGTGACACGCAGCAAGGCATGGGTAATTTGGCCAGTGTGTATACATACATACATACATACATATATATATATATATATATATATATATAAAATATAAACATTAAAACGCTTACTGACTATGAGACCCGGATTCGAATCTCACCACAGCTTATTTGTCAGGACTTCCTAACGTTATCAGTCTGGAGTGAGGATGATCCCAATGTGAAGCACCTTTGGAAAGTGCCTGAAAACAATACCACAGGTTGACCCAAGCCTTGTGAGTGAAATTGGGTAGATGGAACACTTTGAGGCCATTGACAGCATGAAGTCAAAAGTGATCATGACCGAGGGGTTGAGTGTGCTGGTGTTCAGATTATTGATTATGCTAGATAACACACTCTCTCCCAGAAACTGTAACTAAGCTCTGCTTAGCATAGTTGCATTATAAACCACAGGTTGGCTCTGCTGGTGTTGAACAAACACAAATGTGCCTGAATGAGAGTCTGCAATAGGGATTGGCTAGCCACCCTAGTAGACCAGTATCGTCGGATATGAGTGGCCAGTTATTATTATTACGTAAAGGTAATAAATCTATTGGTATATAATTCAAGTGGATCCTAATAATATAAAATATTAAAACTGATCAACAAAAAGAGCTCAATGTATTTATTATTACAGAGTAAATAATTAATAAACAATGAAATCCAATAGGCTATTCGCCATATGAGGTGATTTGGGATTTTAATGTTTATTATATATATATATATATATATATATATATATATTATTTATGTATTTTATATGTGTGGTACTTAATGAAAAGTGCTCAATATGGAGCTAACATACTTAGCTTGTTTGTTCACACAAACATATACATATATGAACAGTGTGGGACTGAGCGCAGGCATATATCCATGTGTCCGAGTACATATGCATACACAACTGTGGTTGTTTTCAGTGTTGAACTACAATACGTACACCTGTATGTATGTATGTCTGAGTGACATCCCAAAATGGACACAGAGGAGAATTGTTCCTCCTGCCACTATCAGACATCACCAAACAGAGACTGACATAAATACATTAAAAATTTAAAAATAAATCAGTTTGTCTGATGATCACTATGGTATATAAAACCCAGATATGACAAATTCACATCAATATAACTATGTATATATATATATATATATATATATATATATATATATATATATATATATATATATATATATATATATATATATATATATATATGTATATTAAACATATATAGAGGTGTCTTAGATGCTTTTTTGTTTGGGGTGACTTGATAAAAAATAAAAAAAAAATTAAATCAAACAAAAGATCACCTCTGAAGACATTAAACTCTAGTAATTTTTTAATTTACTGGTCGATGTTTTGTTACTTCTTGACAATTTTTGCTATATTTCAAGAAACTAAATATGAATCCAAACCTGAAGTTCTTAGTCATGACCAATTTAAGTTAGTACTGGTTTAGTGGAGTAATGGAATTGAGGAATTGAAGAGCAGAGTTGCAATTCCAGCTGAGTTCGTTACATTCACTTATGTGCAAATACCCTTGGGAGAAATGGTATCTCTTCTCTCCTCAGCTATAGGTAAATAGCAGGACAGACTGGGACCCTTAGATTTGGGTGTCAAACAGTATGAGAAGGACAACTCTGAATTCAAAATCTCCAACTATGGGTTAAATAGAACTCACCAAACCACAATTGGCCAAGGTTGGTGAGTCAAGTTATACCACTGAAGACTTGGTCAACATGAAGGGATCCCTCCAAAGAGTTAGAAGGCCAAGGATCTGTTCTAATTAGATTTCATCTCTGTAACCCTTTTAGAAAAGGGTTGATGAGGGCTTTTTAATCTGAGTAGGCATGAATTTTGGGAAATAAAGGCATGTATGTATGTATATATGTATATATATATATAAAAGTGAGGGGATGATGAGCAGAATAAACACCTATATATAACATGGGAGACAGGGTTCACATTCTTATTTCTCAGTGCAGCTTTTCTTTCATATTACCTCGGTAGCATGCAGCAGGCTCTTCCCCATTTTTCAGTCAGCACTTATGGGATCAAGGATGGAAATACATGGGTTGGCCATTGGCTGACTAGAATAACATTTGGGCAAGTGTCATAGTGCATGTTTACAACCATGAAAAGTAAATCAGAACAACATTTATTAAATACATCAAAACTTTAATTCATACTAACAATTCTATTTATAATGAGAGTAAAGAAGTATATAAGGAGACTCGAGACAGCAGAAATGTGGTTCTACAGGAGGATGCTCAGGATGGACCCAACATGTGAGCAACACTGAAGTTCTCGGACGCATAATAAATAAAGAGGACATGGAAAATTTGACCTTCACTGGACAGACTGAAGGCAAGAGAAAAGTAACACACATCCTACCTAGAAAGTTCGAGTAAATCCATGGCAGAGCAAGGTTTAGAAAAGATAATGAAAAGACAAAATTTATTAAGAGCTACAAAGGACAGGAATTTGTGTAGTGCCAAGATTGCCTACATCATGAAAGGCTATGGCACATACAAGATGAAATATTAGAAACATTCAGAAAAAAATTAATGAAAACTGTTTTGCTACAGAGATCTGCAAGAAATTCTCTTCACTATAAAGATACATGAGAAATCCCTTTCGATGTAGAGATTCGTGGGAAATCTTTGCTACCGAGATCCATGGGAAATCATCCCTGCTATAGAAATCCTCCCAGTTATCGAAATCCATTCGAAATACTCCCTGCTACAGAAATCCATTCGAAATACTCCCTGCTACAGAAATCCATTACAAATCCTCCCTGCTACAGAAATCTGTTTGAAATTATTTAAACAGTAACTGTTTATGCAGCCCATGCTATCACAAGGAGGATTTTCATTAAACAAATGTCATAACTCTAATGTACAAGATATATAAAATATATGACAAAACCTGATATATATCTTCAGGGTTTCAGCTTTTATAACTGCTGTATTTAGCTTTATTACTTTAACCTTAAACAGACTCACCACATAAATGTCAGCTCTCAGAGTCTTACTGTTTGCTTAATTTCCTGTCTTAATTGTAATGATGTCATCATATATTATGGCAGAATATACATTGAAAGCTGGTATTTATGATTTGGGTTGAATGCTAAAGGGTTAATCATTAAATATTTCTGATAAGGGAAAAAATATTTTATTAAATGATTAAAAACTAAATTTTAATTTTTTTTAACCTGAAATTTATAAAAACAAAAAAAAATCAAAGTAAGGGATTATCCGTGATCAAGAATTCATGCAAATATTTATATAGCGAAAGCTATTATTTATATAGTAGATTACTCCACAAAAAAAAGGAAAAAAACAAAACAAAACAAAACAAAACAAAACAACAAAAAAAAAACAACACCCAAGGTAATGTGGTGGTAACAGATGTAAAAAATATCAAATATTTTTATCAAGAGTTAATAAAAAAATTCAAAAATAATTTAATTCATTTGTGAATAAGTTCTGAAATTTCATTAAAATCTGACAATTATTTAATTTTTACAAGAATTCCAAAACAATGTGTTTTTTACCATAAAAAAAAAACAAAAAAAACTAAATTTCCCATACTAATCTTTGACTCAGCCGCTGACTAAGACAAACAAAATTTTAAGCAAAATTTTGAACATGCTAGAAAGGATTAAAAAATTTAATAATAATAAAAACATAATTTGGTCTTTCCTATTGATAAGAAACTAGGCAAATAATTTAAAATTGATAAAAATATGTTGAATTAATAAACTTCCATTCTTTAGAAATGTTGGTTTGATTATGTTTAGATATGAAATTATGTCAATATGAAATATTCTGGGAGATCTATGACAAGAAGTTTGGGGCCTTTTCCCATCATGCCATGCTTTTTTTTTTTTTTTTATAAAATGTTTGGCGGTAACTTTTATATAGTTATCAATATTATTATATATACACAAAAATTATGGTATATAACTTGTATTTTTCAAAAATCATAATCATCTAATTTGTGTACAAGTTGGCATATATTTTAAATATATTAAGTTTATATAAGCAAAATAAGGTTACTCCTTAAGATTTCTCCAAAGTGTAAAAAAAAGAAAGGTAACTCACCGCCACTGTTGTAACACAGGACGTTGTTTTACAAACATCACAGTAGCAAATGATTTCTTTACTTTTCCTACCCCGCATTATGCCTGAAAAACAATAAACAGGAAAAAAAAAGACTTTATCGTATTAAAATGCAAGTGCAACACATAGAACAACAAAATAGTCTTGCATATGACAATAAATAACATCTGGCAGCATGAATTTTTGAGCAGCATCAAAGCACCACTTTATTGTTGTTCACAGGTCCACCATGACCTGGAATGGTAGCACCTGTTAGGGTCCCAGCTATGGACAAATAGTGTTTTGATTTTTATTTGTTGATCCATGAAGAACAAAAATACATTATCATAAAAATATACTTATAAAGAAGAAAAAAAAAAAAAAAAAAAAAAAAAAAAAGAAAAAGACCAATAGCAAAATAACAATCAATACAGTACTAAAGTATAAAAATACGTTTTCATAGTAAAATTACCAGCAATAGAGTTATCTCCAAACTATATATCTAAACATGTTTACTCTGAAAGTATAAAATTATGTACAAAATATAGAGTTGAAGTCATAAAATTACATACAAAATATTTAGATTTCGACATTAAATAATTTATAGCGGTTGATATGTTGCTAAACAAAATCAACCAACATGAAAGAACTCTTTCATGACATTAATCCATATAATATCTGACAATTTCTTATAGAAATCAAACTGTATTCCAAAAAAACTATAACTTCAATAAAACTACAACTTAAAAAAAATCATATCACCACCCCTAGTAATTTTGTCCCCAAAAACATGTACATGCACAAAAGCTGAGTATCATCTACCATGTATTCAATTGTGAAAGCAGAATAACATATATCGTATTTTTATTAGTTTAAAGCTCCCAAGAAAATTAAATTTCAGCATTAAATGACACATAAGAATTTGATATGTCGGTAAACAATCAATCAATTCAAGAGAATGTTATAAATTACCAAACACTCACTTTGAATTTCTGCAAACTTTTAACCTTTAGTTCACTGTATGTAGGTGACATTATTTGTCAAACAAAATGTTCGTACAGTCACTGCATGCAACTCTGATCATCAGTCAATTGCATGGTTGAATTTTGTGCTAGTGTTGTCATATCCTACTATGGCAACAGTAAAATACTCAACTGAAAATTGAAGATGATACTACTGCAGTTGTGTGACCACTTACATTCAATGGATGAGGTGTTTATAAGCCATTAAACAAAATCAACCAACTAGAATAATAAATATAATAATTGGGAGGCATTCTCATCCAAAATGATAAATTTATTTTTTTAACCTTATGTCTTATTATTATTTTATCATTACTACAGGAACGACTCTAGAAACAATTTTACTACAAGAATTCATCTGGGCAAGACTTTTATTACAGGAATGCATCTGGGGAGAGACTTTACTATAGGAATTCATCAGAGAGTGAACTTACTTCTATTTTACTTACATTTTTAAACATTTTTTTAAATACAACTGAAAAAGAAAGATCTGTATAAAACAAAAATGTTTTTAAAGACAGAAGCCACAAGGTGGAGACAGAAGAATATTCATACTATAAATTATTAATTTTTATGCTGTTGTTTAAGAAAGAACAAATGTGATTTAGAGATTTTTTTCTCCAGTTGGAAAGGTTTCTAATTTTCATTTACAGGCTTGGCATACATTAAGAAAATTTTTAAGAAGTGGATGGAGGGAGCAGCTTCTGAAAGCACATTCAGTTCAATCCAGAAGTAACACATCTCATTTAAAAAAAAAAAATAAAATAAAAAAAATCACCTATTAGATGCAAATGATCAATGTTCAAAGTAACTAATTTCTTTTATAGTTTGACAAGAAAATGGTTAACATTAGAACAATGACATTGAATATAAATACTCTACAATTAAAGCTTTAAGATATTTTCAAAACAAACATTTGTACAACCGATAGAACATTGGACACCATGTTAGTTAATTTAGATTTGTTTTCTTTCTTGCAGCTACAAGGAGATTCTGAAAATTTCTTGACAAGGCCCTCTCCTCCAAAATCACTGGTCTTATGTTTCATCAATGAAATACTAATTTTGGAAAGTGGACAATGCCAAGAAATTTTCAAGATCACCTTGTATTTTTCTTGTTATTCGGTTGACATTTAACATTCAATAATATTAGGCATTAAAATTAAAAATGAAGATCTTGCCATAAAGCAGACAAATTTGTTGTCCAAATTAAAAAAATAATTAAAGATATGCTTTTTGAGAAAGTAAAGGTCAAGGTCAAACTATCTTATTTGACCTTTTAACAAAAAATAAATAGATCACCTTTTAGATCTATCCAAGTACTTTAAAATGGTATATAATTTAGCTTTGTAGATGAAAATGCAACTGATATTTAAACTTTGTGACTATTTTCCAAAATTCACCTTTTTAGCAAAGATCAAAGAATCATATCTTGGGAACTCTTTGACCTTGAGATGTAAAATAGGTACTATTCAATTTGTATCATGAAGCTCTATAAGTGTACCAAATTTGAAAAAAAAAATCTGTGCCAGAGATAGTCAGACGCAATGACACTTTTAGTTACAAAAATTGTTTCAATTCGGCAAATTGTCTAAATTATTAAAATATTGTATATTACACCCATTGACAGAGACCAAACAGTGGATAAGAACACAGTTAGGTAGTGGGTTAAGCATTTCAGCCATGCCATTCTTGCACAGCTGTTAACACACAAAATCAAGAGCTCCTTGATCAGCTTGTCCATGTGAATCAGCAAAGTTATGTTGTAAGAATTGTGTTTGAAGTTGAATAGCAGATTCAATGCATTACAAAAACGATGACAATGTTGGAATGTCTCCAATTTTGTCCCAGGTGCATCCCACAGATACTTACATAAGAACAAGAAGATCAACAAATGCATATATGTCAGGATTTGCTAAATGACTATGAAACTGAAGGTGACAGTTTCCTTGACCACATCAATTACTGATGACAAGAGATGTTGTCACCAGTATGAGCCGGAAAACAAGAATGACCTTCAGTGATGACATGTGAATTCCCCCATCAACTGTTTAGCACTGACAAAAATGTACAGCCAATACCAGTGAGTATGTGAAAAAAACTTCCTCTGTCATTGGACATCATCCCCCCCTCCCCCAGCAGTATATGCTAGAGTTTACATGGAAATGAAAAGAAGTGACCCTCATAATTTGGCTAAGTGTAATTTTGCACTAGCAAACCAAACTAAGAAAACAAATCACCATAAAAGTCATAAAAATGGAACAGCTATAGTGACAAACTAAATTGATTGTTACTCATTCACTAATAAAAATGTAGACTCTCAAATGGTGGTTATATGTGGGGTCCAACTCTGTTAAAAATGTCATCTGAATACAACCCTTCGTTCAGCTCAATGATTAAACATGGCTTTAAGCAAATGAATCATTTTGGTCTTAAAAATGGCACACTCCTTCATCAGACCTTATAGACTGGTGCTATAAAATAAACATTACTTGAACACTTCCAACTACAATAACAACAAAAAAATGGTAGCTCCAATAACTAGAAGAAAAAATGATATAATCAAGCCATTAACTTTCTACACTACCAAAAACAAAAAACTTGGAAAGAAACTCCCATCAATACTAGAAAGTGCAATAACAGTTAATGAAACTGAAAAGTTAAATTTCCTAAAAAACTGTTTTAATACAAAAATGGATTTCTGTCTTTCAACTGACAACCATGCTGGTCAGTCACTGAATGCCTGCCTCTGTATGGGAATGATTTATTTTATCATTACTACAGGAATGACTCTAGAAGTGATTTTACTATGGGAATTCATCTGGGCAAGACTTTTACTACAGGAATGCATCTGGGGAGAGACTTTACTATAGGAATTCATCAGAGAGTGAACTTACTACAGGAATGCATTAAAAGTGAATTTATTACAGAAAGTCAAATTGCTGAAAAATTGTTTTAATAAAAAAAGATTTTATAAATTTCAAATAACAATTATGTGAAATGTTTGGTCAATGAATGACAATTGTTTCCTGTATGGAAATGGCTTATCTCACCATTAGCAACTGTGAATTCATATACATGTTCCATAAAAAAATCTTGTGCCAGTAAAGTGCAGTTGTTCAATACAAAATAATTTGCCTTTTATTGTTTACACTGATAACGCAGCACACCTAAATCTCAGAATAGACTACAGATTTCTTAGATAATGCACACATTATTATTATGTCTTGACTAGTGTTCCTTTCATCCTAATTCCAGTTGCTATTTATTGCAACTCTCAGCTCATTATTTTATAACCACTGAATCAGAAATAACTGATAAATTAATATGCTGCTTATTTAAGGTTCATCAAATAAGAATGAAAGTGTGTGTGTATGTGTGTGTGGAAGGGGTAGTAATCAAAATAAGATGAGCAAGATTAATATTAATCAGAGACTAATAAACTATTTCAAAAAGTACCAAAGCTAATAGGACTAGTAACAATTAACAAAACGACTCAGAGTGCAGCAAAAACACCTTCCACATAATGGTAAAAGAGTAGCAATTTTGTCTTTATCTAGCTGATGACTTACCAGTATATGGAAGGTTATTTCCCAAGAGATATAGGGTGTGACAGAAATATACCTCTCAGAAATACCTTTCTTACCATTATCCGAGACGTATATGTGAGATGTATTTCTACCACATCCTGCATATATGGGAGTCATTTCTGACACACCCTGTAGAAGTGGGAGACATTTCTGTTGCACCATGTATTACTTGTAACACTGGATATTTAATAACTGAAATGAAAGGAATGTGAACCGGATGATAAGTTAACCTATTTTTTTTTAAAAATAGGAACAATTATTCTGCATATATTTTATGCAATAAACAATGTGTGTTGTTTGTTTTTGATTTTGTCGACTGCACAGTATAGAAGGGTCAGTTGGGTACCATCTCAGAAAAAGAACATCATGACACAATTCACTGTCAGAAATTTGGAAATGCTGTACAGCTTGGCATTCATACTGGAAGCTCAAATACAAATATTTCAGAGTGAGTGTGAACTGGAAGACAATGTTC